TATTAATCAATATCGATAATTATTTAAGACGATAAGATTTGAAACCATATTTTATGTGCAGCCCTGCCTGGACATTTTATGATATTGCTAAATGATTTAATTTTAATAAAGAACACAAACACAGACTTCGAATTAAATCTTTATTTATTCATTGCCAGACAGGACACTGTAAAAAATGTTAAATAAACAAATAAAACTACTAACACTTGACATAATGATGTCCTGAAGTGTTATTACACTGATAAATGCTTATGAATATTATGATAAATCCAATCCACAAGTAAACACATACTCTTTTATTTGCTTAGAACACTAGCATATTTTTTTTTCATCCAGAGGGTTCAAATTCTGCCAGTGTTTCAGCACAAACCTTCAGTACTTTTAACAAAAAAAGTTGTTCTTCCTCCAACAGAGGGTTCAATTTCTGTCAGTGTTTCAGCACATCCTTCACTACTTTTGGATAAATGAGGATAAATGTCCCAGGTCTGATATGTGGTCGTTTTTGGCATGTAAGGGTTTGCTGTGAGCAGTCCTTGACGAGTTTCAGAATGGGTTTTCTGGAATTACCGTTAACCGCCAGCATCTTGAAGACCCTCTGGCATTTGTGGTGCCATGTTTTGGGTCCATTGAGAACCAAAACCTCTTCCTCTTTAGGTCTTTTCAGAACAAGAACCTCTTTTTTTCTGGATGCATTCAGAACCAGAGCCTCTTCCTCTCTGGGTCCGTTTAGAACCTCTTCATCTCTAGGTCTGTTCAGAGCTAGAATCCCTTCACTCTGGATCTGTTCAGAACCACAACCTCCTCATCTCTGGGTCCATTCAGAACCAGAAGCCCTTCCTCTCTCGGTCCATACAGAACCAGAATGTCTTCCTCTTTTGGTCCGATCAGAAACCGAACCTCCTCCTCTCTAGGCCGGTTCCAAACAAAAACGTCCTCCTCTCTGGGTCCATTCAGAACCAGAACCGGTTCCTCTCTGGGTCTGTTCAGAACCAGAACCTGTTCCTCTCTTGGTCTATTGAGAACCAGAACATCCACCTCTCAGGGTCCGTTCGGAACCAGAACCTCCGATTCTCTGGGTCCTTTCAGAACCAGAAGCCCTTCCTCTCTGGGTCCATACAGAACCAGAATGTTTTCCTCTCTTGGTCCGATCAGAAACCGAACCTCCTCCTCTCTAGGCCGGTTCCAAACAAAAACATCCTCCTCTCTGGGTCCATTCAGAACCTGAGCCTGTTCCTCTCTGGGTCTGTTCAGAACCAGACCTGGTCCTCTCTTGGTCCTTTCGGGGCCAGAACCTCTGATTCTCTGGGTCCGTTCAGAACCAGAACCTCTTCCTTTCTGGGTCCATTCAGAACTGGAAACTCTTTCTCTCTATGTCTGTTCAGAACCAGAATCTTCTTGTTTCTGGGTCCAGTCATAACCACCGCCTCCTCTCTGGGTCTGTTTGGACCCAGAACCTCTTCCTCTCTGGGTCCATTCAGAACCACCTTCTCATCTCTGTGTCCTTTTAGAACCAGAACATCCTCCTCTGTGGGTGCATTTAGAATCTGCGTCTGTTTAGAACCGGAACCTTTTCCTCTCTGGGTCTATTCAGAACCCAAACTTCTTCCTCTCTCTGTCCATTCAGAACCACCTGCTCATCTCTGCGTTCGTTCAGAACCATAACGTCCTCCTTTCTGGGTCCATTTAGAACCAGAACCTCCTCATCTCTGGGTCCATTAAGAAGCAGAATATTCTTCTCTCTAGGTCGATTCAGCACCAGAATCTCTTCCTCTCTTGGTCCTTTCAGAACCAGAACACCCTCCTCTCTTTGTCCGTTCAGAACCAGAACCTCCTCATCTCTAGGTCCACCCGAACCAGAAACTCTTCCTCTCTAGGTCTGTTCAGAACCAAAATCTCCTTCTTTCTGGGTCCATTCGGAACCACCACCTTCTCTCAGGGTCAGTTCAGAACCAGAACCTGCTCCTCTCTAGGTCAATTCAGAACCAGAGCCTTCTCATCTCTGGGTCTGTTCAGAACCCAAATCTCTCCCTATCAGAGGCGGAGCCACCGTGGTGGCAAAGGGGGGCACCCGCCCCCCTTGTGATCTGATTGGCCACCCCGTGTGCCACCCCAAGTGTCATTGGCTTCCATGGATGTCTATTATTCTGCCTTTCAAACGCGACAAAAGTTTTTGAAAAGTGCCGTTAAAAGTACAGTGCTGGAAGAGAGCTAACATCTTAATATTTCTNGTTTCCGAGAATTTGTGGCACGACAAACGCGGACAAGCACAGGTTGCAAATTGTCGGAAACTGACGAAAATC